ATTACTGATCATGCATCTTTGATTTGATTGAGGCAAGATAAAGAAGAAAATGCCAGTATTACAAGGTGGTTTCTGAGCCTTCAGCCACTTGTTTATTTCTATATGACTGGTAAAGCTCAAGGTATTGCAGATAGTCTTTCCTGTGTTATTGATGAAGGCTGCTCATTCCCATAGGTCTGAGCTGTGGGGGGGGATTTGTCAGAGTGTCTGGAAGGGTAGTAGAGGGAAGGTACCAGGGAAATTACTAGTAACAGAACTAGATGTTTGACTATGTCACTAGCATCTTGATTCTCCAAACCTGTTGTTCTTGACCTCTCGACGCTGTCTGAACCCAGTCAGGGGTTATAGGACTGTCTGAGGCAGAGAAACCATATAGGAGAAGAGAGGGTCTGTTCTTCTATTGTGGCAAGAAAGGGCATATGAGAGATGCTTGTCCTATATGTCCGGAAAAACTTCCGGACCTAAGAACCTTAAGGGGGCAGGTCTTAGGTGTAATGGATACGTCCTCTAGTAATTCCCGAAGCAGATTTCTCCTTGACATTTCTGCCTTTTGCAACGAGGAGAACTTTTCATGCAAAGCCCTGGTTTATTCAGGTGCGGCTGGTAACTTTATTGATCTGTATTTTGTTAAAAAAACACACTATACCAGTCAGGGAGAGATCATCACCTCTAGCGGTTGAGGCTATTGATGGGAGACCCCTATCTCAACCTCTTATTACCAATGAGACCTTGCCTATTTGCATTATGACAGGAGCTTTGCATAAGGAAGACAGTACTTTCCAGATAATCGCTTCCCCTTCTGGTCCCATCGTATTAGGGTTCCCTTTGCTCATCAAGCATAACCCTCATATTGACTGGACTAGAGGGGAAATACTGGAATGGGGTAGAGACTGTTAGGAAAGTTGCATGTTACCCATTTCTAAAAAAGTGGGCATCGTTGCTTTACCCGCTGCTACGTCTCCAACTCCCAAAATTCCCATACAGTATTGTCATCTGCGGATGTCACCTCATTATATACTGTCATAGAACATATTCAATGGTGCGAGGCAGCACAGTACTCTTTGGCAGTATATTCAGATCTCAAAAACGATCAGATAGATTTTTTAATACAAGGTATTATTTTCATTTTAACCCACAACTATTTTTGGTCAGATGGACAATTTTATCTTCAGTTAGAGGGCACTGCCCTGGGGACACATTTTGCGCCAAGTTACGCTAACCTGTTTATGGGTAAATGGGAAGACGAGTACATTTGGGACCATTGCCCTTTTTGCGCAAAACTGTCCCTATAGCGTAGATATATTGATGATTGTTTTTTTATCTGGAAAGGGGATCCTTCACTAGAAAAGTTCATGTCTTATCTTAACCACAACCCATATAATCTTAAATTCTCCTTTTCTTATTCAAAGGAACAAGTGGAATTCCTTGATTTAAGTATTTATATTGAGAAAGGGAAATTGCAAATGAAAACATTTAAAAAGAGTGTAGACTGTAACAGTTTCATACCATTTGACAGCCATCATAAACCCACATGGCTTAAAAACATTCCTCAAAGCCAGTTTAGAAGAGTTAAAAGAAACTGTTCACAGTTAGAAGTATGTAATCAACAGATGGAAGAAATTAAACAAAGATTTGTAACAAAAGGATATCCGATCCCACTTTTAGATAAAGCTCTAACAAGAGCCTCAAATATTCCTAGAGAAGAGACTTTACAAAATAAGATGAAAATCCAAAGAAGACAAAATGATCTACCTGCATTTATTACACAATACAACAATCAGGCCTCAACGGTACAAAATATTCTTAAGAAACATTGGGGGATTCTCAAGAGTGATTCGAGTTTGTCTGAAATTATATCAGAGAAACCTTAAGTGATTTTCACTAGGGCACCCGATTTGAAACTGCTGTTGGCACCAACTTTAAAAACATCTTTTCAAAACCAGAAAGAGATATTTAACAAAGGCTTTTCAATGTGTAATAAGTGTCAAGGGTGTAAAAACAACCCTCAACAAGAGAAAAGAAAAGTGTCTTTTATATCTATGGATGATGGGAAGGAATATAAGATTAGACATAATATGGACTGGAATACCTCTGGGGTAATATATCTTGTGACATGTCCATGTCTAAAACAATATGTAGGGAGGACAAAAAGGCAACTAAAAAGAAGGATTTCGGAACATATACGTAATGTGAAAAAGGGTTTATTAACACATAATCTATCTAGACATTTTAAAGAATTTCATGATGGAAACCCAATAGGTTTAGAGTTTATGGCAATAGAAAAGGTAGAAACTAATTGGAGAGGTGGTGATTTAGAAAAGATTTTAGATCAAAAAGAAGCAAAATGGATTTTCACTCTTAATACCCTTACACCAAAGGGACTTAATGTAGACTTTGAGCTCAATGCTTTTTTATAAAATAACATATGCTTATTTTTAGAGTTTTATTTTTATCTTTATTTTTATTTTTATATTTATTTTTATTTTCATTTTATTTATTTTTACATTTTTATTTTTATTTTTGTTTTTTATTTCTATTTTCATTTTCAATTTTATTTTATTTTTATTTTTATTTTTTTTAATTTTTTTTTAGTTTTTATTTTCATTTTCATTTCTATTTTTATTTTTATTTTTAATTTATTTTTATTTCTATTTTTATCTCTATTACTTTTTTATATTATATTATATATCTTATAATTAATTCTTATATTTATAATAGCAAGTTTTTAAACCATCAAATAGGATTTTAGGACTCTTTTAGGGTTTTTTCCTTTGTTTTTATCAACACCTCTCCTATGATCCTTTTCGGAAAGAATTTTCTACCTATACAAAAATATATTTTTATGTTTTTATATTTTTCTATATTATAGAATTTTTTTATCCAATCGTATTTTATTGGATCTTTTTTGGATTATCTTATTAATCAGTCGATCGATAGTGGTAGTGTAATATCTTTTTCTTCTCCCCTTATTTCTTTATAACAAAGTTTTTGAGAATTTTTATTATATTTTATTTTCCTCCTGCTGGTTTTTTGGGTTTCTTATATAGTATGCAGCATTTCTATATAGTATGCAACATTGTGTTTTGCTTGATTCTAAAGATGTAGCTATAACTTTAACTCTAAAATTTAAGATTTCTCCTCTTTTGACATAACAAAGATTGAAAATATAAAAATATGTCCAATGCATATACTATTTTATCTGATATCTGGGAGATGCCTATTTATATTATTGTCAAAAATGGTCCGTTTTCGATACATTTTGGGTGGTTGTATGATTGTGAAAAAGGGTCTGTTTATTTATTCCTGATTCATCTATGATTTATTTTTGATACAATATGTTTGCATTTGCGGTTTTTATTAATATTGCACATATGTACCAATTACCTTGTGTCTTTATATTGATGAAGGTTTTCGTTGAAATATGCATTTAAATGATGAAGTTAATTAATGGTGTTTTTTAAAGATGAAACCAATTGGCGTTAGCAATGGGTGTATATATACACATCAATATTGACTCAGTCTGTGATATGCCTCTGATGAAGTAGGGCAGTACCCTACGAAACATGTAAGGTGCTTCCTGTGTCAGTGCTGCACAGTGTGCAGCACCTACATTCAGGGCCTCCATGCTCTGGAGGCGCTGAACGTTCCCCATAGAGATACATTGATTCAATTAATCTCTATGAGGAGATGCTGATTGGTATGGCGTTTTGCAGAAAATCCTATGGCAAAGCATTGGATTGGCTGTGGTCATCAAGCAGGATCAGTTGACGGAAGACCAGCATGGCGTGGCGAAAAAAAAGGTGAGTGAAAACACTATTTTTAAACACACACAGACACATCCATACACCATGACAGACACACACCATGACACACACATATACCATGACAGACACACAACACACCTTAACAGACACACACATACCATGACAGACACACACATACCATGACACACACACCTTGACAGAGAGACACACACACACCATGACACAGAAAAACCATGACACAGACACACCATGACACAGACACACACACACCATGACCCAGATCGACACACACACCATTACACATACACACACCATGAGACAGACAGACAAACACACACACCATGACAGACACACACACACCATGACACAGACAGACAGACAGACACACACACACACACACCATGACACAGAAAGACCATGACACAGACACACCATGACACAGACACACACACCATGACACAGACAGACACACACACCATTACACAGACAGAAACACACACACACACACCATGACACAGACAGACACAGACACACACACACCATGACACAGACAGACACACTTACACCATGACACACCATGACAGACAGACACACACCAAGACAGACAGAAACACACACACACCATGACAGAGACACACACACCATGACACACACACACACTATGACACAGACAGACACCCACCATGACACAGGCAGACACACACCATGACAGACACCATGACAGACACACCATGACAGACAGACAGACACACACACACACACACACACACTCATACACTTACACTGACAGACTGACACACATTATTGATACCTGTAGGTGACCGGCCATGGGGTCATGCAGGGCAGACGGCTGGGTGTGCTGGCAGCCACAGGGGGAGCTGTGCTGTCTCTGCTCCCAGCGCACAGCTTAATGAGACCGGGGCCAGAATATGACGTCATATTCCGGCACTGGTCTCATTAAGTAGCGCGTGAGGGTGGGGGAGCAGAGCAGAGACAGCACAACTCCCTCTTTGGCTGCCAGCACAGCTCCCCCTGCAGCTGCCAGCACACCCAGCTGTCTGCCCGGCCCCAGGTGCCGACAGCCCACCAGGAAATTTCCCGGTATCCAGGTGGGCCAGTCCGGCCCTAGTGCTCTGGCATTATTTAATGTAAGTAGTCAAGCCATTTGCTAATAATGTGTCAGCTTACAATGGGTCCACTGGTTACTTCCTCCATTAAGACACAAAAACTAGCTCTCCTGTTTTAAGGACTGCTGTGCAGGGTTAGCTCTTAAGCAGAGACTGTGCGCTGGTAGTTGTCAGCCAATGATCCTCGGTACGATATCAAACCATTAGCAAACTGTTTGACTACTTTCATTGGAGGAGGGACACCATGGCACTCCTAGCACACAACCACTATAGCCAGCTATGATGGTTGTGGTGCTTGGAGTGTTATAACATATTGATACTACTTTTATGATTTGTTCTACCATAAACTCCAGAAGAGATTTTAAAATCCAAATTCATTGGCCTAGAGGCCTCTTGTTTATTTTTGTTTATCTTCATATATATTAGAATAAGTAATCATAACGCACACAATTATAAAACAGATGCATTACAGTTGCTGAGACAAGGTTACTACTGGAAAAGACATTCTAACTGCCCTGCTCTACTCATCAAATGGAAGTAAAAAACTTTTTTTTCACTGAATTACCTCAGAAAATGCTGGAAAGCCTGACAGAAGACAGTGGACGTTATTAAAGGGAAGTGCAAGTCTCAATAATTTTTCTTACACTGAATTTAAAAAAAAATGTTTTCTTGACTTTTAAATTTATTTTTTTATTTTTTAATGATATTTACAGGAATTGCAAACATTGCTATAAAGAATAGAATTTTATATATACAAGGATTAATAAATTATATTTTTAACCTTTTGTTGGTTGGTTATCTTTATACAAAAAGTTCAATATTTGTTGTAGGTAGTTGTGGTACGCAGTGGCGGATCCAGAGCCTGATCTCGGGAGGGGCACTTGTAGATTATTTAAAGAAATAATTTAGGCACAATAACCACTATAGCTCAGTGTAGTAGTTATGGTGCCAGTAGTGCCAGGATCCCATCCCAGAATAAGTAGTCATATCGTTTAAGAGCAGTGTGACAACTTACCTGGGGTCAGGAGCAGTGGTATGTGTGAGGGGTGAAGTGTGTGTGAGCGGTGAAGTGTGTGTGTGTGATTGCGTGAGGGCGACAGTGTATGTCAGGGTTGCAGTGTGTGTGTAAGCGGTGCAGTGTGTATGTGTTTGGGGCAGTATGTGTATGGGGGCACTGTATATGTGTGTGGGGCAGTGTGTGTATGGAAGCAGTGCACGTGTGTATGGGGAGCACTGTATGTGTGTGTGGGGCAGTGTGTGTATGGGGGGCAGTGTGTGTGTGAGGCAGTGTATGTATGGGGGCAGTGTATGTATGGGTGGCAGTGTGTGTGGCAGTGTGTGGCAGTGTATGTATGGGTGGCAGTGTATGGGGGTAGTGTATGTGTGTGTGTATGTGTGGGGCAGTGTGTGTATGGAGGCGGTATGGGTGGCAGTGTGTGTATGGGGGGGCAGTGTGTGTGTGTGGGGGCAGTGTGTGTGGGTCAGTGTGTGTGTGGGGGCAGTGTATGTATGGGTGGCAGTGTGTGAGTATGGGGGGGAAGGAGGCTTTTTAATAATGTTTTTTTTTTTTTATTAAATACATTTATGTCCCCCTCCCTTCTTACCTTTATTGGGGGAAATGTCTTAGTCCCTGGTGGTCCGGTGGGGATTCCCTGGTGGTTCCAGTGGTTAGAGTGAACTCTAGCCCGTAGCTCCAGGGCTAGAGTTCACTCTTGCGAGATTTGGAGCGTTGCCGTGGTAACCGCAGTAACGCTCCGTGCTCGCGAGAGTAGGACCCGGAGGAGCTGCAGGCTGAGCTCCCGGGTCCTCTCTCCCTCCATCCCCCCGCTGGCTGCCAGCACAGTGCCTGCGGACTGAGGAAGGAGATCTCTGATCTCGCCTCCGGTCCTTGAAGGCACATTGCAGGGCTGGCACTTGGACAATGCCAGCCCTGCATTAGCTGGCAGGGGAGAATCTTGGGGCGGGGGGGCAATTGCCCTGTTGCTCACCCCCCTGGATCTGTCACTGGTGGTACGCAGCTCAGTTGTTCACATATTTAATGACAGAGGATATCCCTATTTTAGGGAAAGCGCAGTCCCCTTTTTTCTGTATATTTCCCCACATATTTAGGTTAGATGTATTTTCCTAATAGGACTAGCTGCCTCCCTCATAGTGCCACCCCTTTCCCTTCCCCCTGTTTTTTTTTCTCTCTTTCCTTTTTATTTTGCTCTATTATTTTTTTTACTGATTTGCAATACATTTGCTCACATAATGTTCTTTCAGGCTTAGCGGAATTATCATCATATATGTCTTTCAAGAACTGATACTTGTAATTTTAATTATTCTATATCACTTCCTAGGAAAATAATTACAGCTGTGGTTATATATGATATGGTTTATAATATGTTATTTAGAGGGTTTCCAGAGTAGAGAGATTTAAGACCTTGCAAGGTTTTATCAATAGAGGATATTGAAGAATCCATCAACATACTTAAAAGATAAAAGCTGCAAATGAAGCAAACCAATCTTAGTAAGGTTGGATTAAGGACAAGAAAGAAAAAGTAAAAATGAAAAAAACTTAATTATGTTTTGCAACAAAAACAAAGAATACAGAGAAGCACTGTCACATAGTTGTGTAATACAGAAGAAAATACATACATACAAAATTAAGTCCTGTGCTTAAACTTTGACTACTCCTGAGCGGCAGTAATGACTATAGTACACATCAGCCCCAATACATACAATTTTAGCCGATTTTAGTGAATGATACTCATTTGAAAGATGTCCTTAACCCATATCCTTCAATTACAGCTAGAAGAGGTAGTAACCTGCACAATAGACTGGAACACAGCACCATTTTTAGCCATCATCAACCCATTATGAATAATAGTATGTGACTGCAGAAACCTTTGGTGGGCTCATACAAATGTGCCCATTGCCTAGCATGGCCAAATATTCTATGACAATCTAAGATATTTTTAGGCGGTCAGGAGGGCTCTAAGTTTTCAGGTGTGGTCTTTCTTTAACTGCAAGACAACAGGTGTCCATTATCTTTTAATTTGTTCTTGTGGTCTAAAATATGTGGGCAAAGGACGGGCGTGGCCTGACACCTAGTTGGATGGATGCTTTCTAACGAGGCTCCTGCAGAACGGGTGCCAAAGGGCTGAAAATAAACGGTCTAACTAGCAAAAACAGAACATAATTTACTTCACTGCACATGAGAGATGTCCCAGAGGCAGCAAGCTAAAACAGCTAAGGCCGATCGAGCATCTTTCTTCCTAGCAAAGCCAACCACAGCACTGTCACAAGAAGGCTGCAGCCTGACCAAAGATGGTGGCGACCCACGCCCGGAGGAGGGTCCCCCTTCATCTCCGACATCCTCGGATGTTGGACCTGATGACAGGCCGCTCACGGTGGCAAACATGAAGAAGCTGCTGGCAGAACTTACCGAGAATATCCAAAGGAATATGGCTGCACAGATACAAACCCTTACAACAGACCTCTGTAAGGAGATACTTGAAGTAGGCCAACACACTGCACAAGCCGAAAAGCGGATGGACGAGTTCTTAGAGGCACACAACAGCCTCGCATATAAGCTGCAAGAAATGGACTTCAACCTCCATGACCACACGCTGATAATGGCCGACGTGGAGGACTGGTCGAGATACAAAAATTTGTGGATACGTGGCATCCCAGAGACGGTCCTGAACTCGACCCTCAACACCTGCTTGCTGGACCTGTTCCACGCATTGACACCAGAGACCCACCCGGTCCAGCTCATCATAGATCGGGCGCACCGGCTGAGGAGACCTAAACGCCTCCCAAACTCGACTGCGAGGGATGTCATCGTTAGAGTACACTTCTACCACACAAAAGAAAGGTTGGTCAGAGCTTCCTGATCCCCAGGCTTCCCTTACCAAGATCTCAAAATCTCCACAGATTTATCGTCGGGGACTCTCCAATTCCGCAAAAGTCTGACACTCCTCACGACCACATTGCGTACACAAGGAATTGCCTACCGCTGGGGATACCCAGCAAAATTGCTAATTCACTACCAGGACGCTCTGCATGGAATTGATTCATTATCAGCGGGCAAAGAGAAATTTAAAATCTGGGGACTGACATTAACAGAGTCAGGAGAAAGGAATATGGCGAAGATATCTAGGATGTCCCCGGAGTGGACACCAGCCTGATACCATAGATGCCAACAGCAGTTACCTCTCCTCCACACCAAGGATGCATTAAGTATAAGTATACCTATGCCTTGACTGCTAAAACTAGTGCGGACACTGTTCTTATACTGTTTGCTAAAAACATTAATAGTTAATATGTTCTAACTTATATACCACGGGTACCTGGTTGGGTGAATGTTAGGGGGAATCAAGGGTTCTGACTCCCAAACTAATTATATCAATGTGATATAGGTGCACCCCAGACACAGAATGGTTTAAGAGAACTTAATCAGCTTCACACAGTCCTAAGTGCCATGGATGAGCCGTCCTCTACACCAGGCTCATCTAAATTTACCCCCCCCACCTGTGGCCAATACAATGTTGGCGTGTCTAGGCTCTCTCAGATAGAGCTCAATTTGGGTTTTCACCCCCTGCCCACTTCCCAGTTCTACCTACCTCCTTCTACCTACCCAGGTTTACCCCAGCAGAATCCGGCACAGTGCACAGCGGTTAGAAGGGGCAACCCAGAGTAAATACCCAACTGTGACAGAACAAAACATTACTTCATACGTCAGGACAACACACGAGGATGATATAAAGTTGACCTCCCTAATAGCTCTATACTTTGAACCAAACACCATATATCTTAGCAAAAACCATCTCTGTTTACTATTAGAGTAGAAACATACAATGTGAAAGGGCTGAATACTCCGGGTAAATGGAGGCTGTTGCTTAGAGATCTTATAAAGAACAAAGTAGATATTGCATGTATTCAAGAAACCCACTTTAAGAAAGGGAACACACTTAAGATCTTCAGTAAACATTTCCCCACACAATATCATGCGTTCTCAGATAATAAAACCAAGGGCGTATCTATATTTACACATAAAGAAGTCACCTTTATGAAGCAGAGGCACTTAATCGACCCCCAGGGCAGATTCATAATCCTCCTGGGCCTCTTTAACGCTACCCAATATGCTTTGGTCACGGCATACTTCTCTAATGACAATTCCAAAAACTACCTTCAATCCCTGCTAACCAAAATTGACCAATATCGCCAAGGTAACTTACTCCTCTGTGGAGACTTTAACTTCACCCAAGCACCTCTAGACAGATCAGAGGAGATGGGAAGCAGTGGTCACCAGACACAGGATAAAATTTACAAACACATCTCCAAACTTTTATTCCTTCACGACCTCTACGATGTTTGGAGGACCCTCAATCCTGGGAATAGAGACTATAAATTCTATTAGAGAGCACATAACTCATACTCCTGAATAGACGCTTTCTTTGTAGACAGAGTAACCCTACCTCATGTCTCTGACTGTAAGATTGGTGAGATCACCTGGTCTGACCATAGCCCAGTTACTTTATATCTAAAAGACGACTTCCAGTTCCAGGGAAAGGTAACATGGAAGCTAAATGATTCTCTTCTGAGTGATGAGAAATTTGCCTCCACAATACAGGAAGAATTAAAAAATTATTTTAAAACTAACACCAACCCAGAGACCGCATATTTCACTGTGTGGTCAGCACATAAAGTGGTACTCAGAGGCCTCTTTAGACAAGCAGCGTGAATTAAAAAGCTCCAAAACTCTGCACAACTGGACTGCCACACACAGATAGCCCGACTCTCAGCGTTAAATAAATCACATTCTTCAACAGACACAGCGACTAAACTCTCCCAACAATACGACAAACTTAGAGACCTGAATGCAAACAAAACCAGAAGACTCCTACACAAAATAAAAGCTGACACCTACCACCATTGTGGTAAAGCCACCAAACTCCTAGCAGCTAGATTGCGCAAGAAATCCATTTCACAAAGTCTGTTCTCCATACGAATAGATGGCTATCACGGGATGGCTATCTGGGGTATGGTGTATTCCGGTACAAACTATCGAATATAGGGCCGTTCGTGCACTTCTACCGAACAAGAAGGGAGGTCAGCGGCTTCAGCGATGTTCGCGCCAAAATGTATCCGTTTTCAGTTCCATGAGTTGGGCATCGAACACCGCTGTGCGTTCGCATGTTTAAAATGGCAGCAACCTCATGTTCGGTATACGAATGGCGGCCACCCAGCACTCGTCAATTAAGTTGCGGTTAACCGCAGCTTCTGGGAGGTTAATTGCCGACACCCTCCAGCTCCCAGGTGGTCCAGTCATTCATGTGTTAGTTCGGTAGATTGAATCTACCGAACACCGGGCAGAAAGGCATGAATAAGCCTTTTCTGAAGGGGAAAAGAAGGCTTTTAGCATGGGTCCATAATCCAAAGGCAACAGGCGAGCAACCAGGCTTCTCCAATGCAATGTGGTGAGATTGGTTTCGTCACACAATAACATTACATGAGGTCATGACGGCCATTAAAGCCCTTCCTCATGCGAAATCCCCAGGGGTGAATGGGTTCACAAATGTATATTACAAGACGTTTGCTGACACACTGGCCCCCCACCTCCTGAAAGTCTACCACCAAGCCACCGCAACAGGCTTCCTCCCACTGCTTTTAGCAACCATTATCACCATCCCGAAACCGGGTAAGCCCACGAACGACTGTAAAAATTACCATCCGATCTCCCTCCTTAACACGGATGCTAAACTGTACGTGAAAATCATAGCAAACAGGATGTCCCTGTTGTTGCTGAAGCTAATGAGAGATGACCAAACTAGGTTCATTAAGGGGAAACACCTACAAACTCATGCATGTCTTTGAGCAGCTCCAGAGGCCTGGCCGAGGGGGTCTGCTATTAGCATTGGATGCAGAAAATGCGTTTGATCCCCTCAGTTGGGCCTTCTTGAGACATGTTCTAGTCAAATATGGATTCCCCCAACAGGTCATCACTCAAATTTTTGCATTATACTCTGCCCCTAAGGCTAGGGTTCTCCAGGCAGGGTTCCTCTCCGACCCATTTGAACTTACAAACGGGACTCTCCAGGGGTGCCCGCTGTCCCCTCTACTATACGTATTAGCAATGGAACCACTCTTGGCCTCAATACAAGCCCACCACAACATAACTGGTCTCCAGGTTGGTGCAAGGGAAGTGAGAATTAGTGCTTTTGCAGACGATATTTTGCTATATATGTCCCACCTGACAAAATCACTGCCCAACATTATGACGCTCATTCAGGATTACGGAGCACAGTCCTACTACTCCCTAAACACCTCTAAAACTCAAGCACTTAGTATCGGGGTATCGGTAAATGATCTGAGGGGACTAAGGAAGACATACCCCTTCGACTGGAGGAAACAAGACATCACTTACCTAGGGCTCCTCTTTACCAAGAAGGCATCAGAACTATACACAGGGAACCATATATAAATATGGAAAGAGTATAATCTACAACTTAAGCGCTGGGCCCCATCGGGGTCTTGTAATATACATGGACAGAAAGAGTAGTGGCATTCAAAATGTCCATCCTTCCCAAACTACAGTATATCTTTAGAACTCTCCCGATCACAGTCCGAAAATCTTTCTTTCAGATGGTACAAAAGACACTTTTGTCTGGGCAGGGGCCAAACTGAGAGTAGCTAGGAAAATTTTACAAACACCAAAACTTACTATCACACATCCATACTGTCCTCACTCTTATCCCACTTTACAGATAAGAAACCCCCCCAGTGGGTAGCGATAGAGGGGAGCCTACTGAAACCCTATGCACTAGCAAACCTCATGTGGCTGCCAAAAAATCACCTCCCTCCACTGCCTCAACCATCAAACCTAGTAACACTTAGGTTCAAAATATGGGATAAACATAGATCTACAATCAGCTCACAGACCACGCTCTCACCAGCCACACCGATAGTGGCACTGCCGTATTGCATACCTACTTTCCATGCCAAACCATGGCTTGACAAAAACCTAACCCACACCTATCACATCCTCCAGAAGGGGGATCTATTAGATTTCTCTAGATTGAGAGACACACATGGGCTCCCCCAGACCTCACAATTCTCACATATGCAGCTGAGATCGTTCCTACATAAACCAACATATGCAGTGGCGAAAACAGACTCAGAGAAGGGACAAATCACGGTGTGGGAGCACTCAGCAATGGAATACCTTGTTCCAAGACATTAACCAATTGCTCAAATCCACCACTCTAGTAGAGCAGCAGAGAAAAGTCATATATAGATGATACATGGTACCTACCAGACTCCAAAAATTCTATCCAAATAGCCCCCCCACCTGCTTGAGATGTGGCGCACTAGGAGGGGTTGTCATCAATATTTGGTGGCATTGCCCAGCACTTAGATCATTCTGGGCCGCGGTCCATAACCTATCAGAGTCAATAACAGGTCTCACCCTATCATTCACACCCTGAATTTATGTAACCTTACTCCTTCCGAGTGAGATTCCCAGAGCTACAAAGAAACTTATCTACCATGTCCTTCTCTCAGCCCATAGAGAGATTGCAAGAGCATGGAAAACCAAGAATTGTTCGCCCCTCTCTAAGCTGCTCTCCAATATACAAGATCAAAGAGCATATGAGGAAGCATATAGCAAACTATGGCCCCCATCCCGGGCAACGGCACAGTCATGGGAGATATGGGACACATGGAGATCGGCGCAACAGGTACATGCAAGTACCGATGTCAGAGGAACAAAATGAAAACAAAACTGGAAATGTTACTAGGTCACTAAGTGTACTAATGTATAATAAAGCTCACCCTATAGCCTTGCGGGGAATCAGTACCTACCTGTTATTGTATTGTATAACATTACTATGGACTGTACACAAATAAATCAAGATTACACAACTGCTGGACCCACCCCCCCACCCCCAACTTCCTTCTTCCCTTCTGTACCCCTCCCCCCTTCTTTGTTGGTTGTTGAAAATAAGAAAATTGTCACAAAAAAAAAGAAGTATGTGGGCAAGACACTATGATTGTTAAAATATCACATTCATGAACATGTCAATTCTGTCAAAGGCAGAATTTATACTCTCATCTCAAGACACCTGAAAGAATGCCATGGTGGATTCTGTGATAATTTCAGGTTTCCTTATGGCGCCAACGTTTCTAG